GATTTATCCTTTAACGCCCACATAAAATCAATTTCAAGGACCGCCTACTTCCATCTACGTAACATTGCAAAAATCAGGCATATCTTGCATCAAAACGATGCAGAGAAACTAGTCCATGCATTTGTTACTTCAAGGCTGGATTATTGTAACTCCTTATTATCAGGGTGTACCAAGAAGTCAGTCAAGTTGCTTCAGCTGATTCAAAATGCTGCAGCTCGTGTACTAACCAGAGTTAGGAAAAGGGACCACATTACTCCTGTTCTGGCTGCCTTACACTGGCTCCCTATAGAACACAGGATAGAATTTAAAATTATTCTTCTCGCCTACAAAGCCCTTAATGGGCAGGCGCCATCTTACCTTAAAGAACTCATTATACCCTACTGTCCTACTAGGGCATTGCGTTCCAAGAATGCAGGGTTGTTGGTTGTTCCTAGAGTCTCTAAAAGTACAATGGGAGCCAGAGCCTTTTCTTATCAAGCTCCACATTTGTGGAATCAGCTTCCAGTTTGTGTTCGGGCGGCAGACACCCTATCCGTTTTTAAGAGTGCGCTTAAGACCTTCCTTTTTGATAAAGCTTATAGTTAGGGCTGATTAGATTCAGCCCCTAGTTTTGCTGATATAGGCTTAGTTTGTCGGGGGACATCTTACTTCTTCCTTCTCTCTGTCTATACCTGTGTACTCTCATGTTCCGATTAACCCAGCTTCCCCAAATGTCTTTCTTTTTGGTGTCTATATACGCCGGGATCCGGAGTCATGGATGATCCTGCGCTCCTCTGTCCTGGATCGCGAGCCCTGGATCTTGAGTCGTGGCTGTGGTCCTGGATCATAGGTCCTGGATGGATATCCTCGTGGATTCATCTTCCTATTATACACACATGCATTTCCAAACATTTGGACTACCTATGTTGCAAATGTATTATCTTTTCAATTTACACACGGCATCTATTGCACGCCTGTCCGTCCTGGGAGAGGGATCCCTCCTCTGTTGCTCTCCCTGAGGTTTCTCCCATTTTTCCCTTTAAACTGTGGGTTTTCTTCGGAAGTTTTTCCTTGTACGATGTGAGGGTCTAAGGACAGAGGGTGTCGTATTGTCATACTGATATTTTGTACAAACTGTAAAGTCCACTGAGACAAATGTAACATTTGTGATATTGGGCTATATAAATAAACATTGATTGATTGATTGATTGATAATATCCATAACTGTATAGGCTATTAGCTTAAAACTCGTCAGGCACTAGGAAGGATCACTTCTTCTTCAGGGCAGGCTACGCAGTACGCAGGATAATGTCCCACAGTGGCTGCCTCTCTGGTGGACTCCAACATTTTTTTTAAGTGAAACATCCGGGGCTTTTCAGAAAACATCCAGGGCTTGAGCCCAAGTAGCCACCCCCTAGCGCCGCCACTGCTTCCCACCTCTGCTCAGGTCTCAGGTAAAAATGTAACTCTCGTCAACTTCATTCAGCGCTTAATCTTCGCTACTGCTACTTTGATAGCATCACAAATTGTACCAAAGTAAAGTTGAATTACTTATGCACCTGGTTTTCAAAGCTAACTAGTAGCGCTATAATGTTCGCATTTTCTACTTAAAATGACCTTGAAATGTGATAAATCATCTCTACCTCGTGCCACCAGAGGAGTGGAAATGCAGGAACTGTCCAAAGCTTTCAGACATTTTCACACCTCTGAATCTTGGCTGTTTCTCAGGCTCATGACATCTCTGGCTGAGAAAGGTGCTAACAGTTTGGTGCTACTTGTAAACAAACTGGTAAGAAGTCATTTCAGGCAGCTTCTGCCAAGGCTTTAAGTACCTTGTAAAATCCGCTCCGTTTATAGCTTCTCCAAAGTCTGGATAGGAATGTTGATTTTTTTCGGTGTGTTTTTGTTTCCCCATGTCTGGGAAGGGTCTACGGCATAAATTCCTCCTGAAATAGGCATATCACTAAAATCTATTTATTTTCACATAACTCTTCTCAATATGGTGACTCACGAGAAAAAATACAGAGAAAATGGAGGGAAAGAGGATATAGCTTCATAAACGAGAATTAATTAAGTCGAAATGTCTTGAAAACACACACCTTTTTTTAAGGGAGGTAGCTAAATAGGTAGGTAGGTAGGTAGATAGGTAGAAAGGGAGGAATAGGTAGGTAGGTAGGTAGGTAGGTAGGTAGGTAGGTAGGTAGGTAGGTAGGTAGGTAGGTAGGTAGGTAGGTAGGTAGGTAGGTAGAAAGGAAGGAATAGGTAGGTAGGTAGGTAGAAAGGAAGGAAGGAATAGGTAGGTAGGTATGTAGGAAGGAAGGAATAGGTAGGTAGGTAGGTAGGTATGTAGGAAGGAAGGAATAGGTAGGTAGGTAGGTAGGTAGAAAGGAAGGAAGGAATAGGTAGGTAGGTAGAAAGGAAGGAAGGAATAGGTAGGTAGGTAGAAAGGAAGGAAGGAATAGGTAGGTAGGTAGAAAGGAATGAATAGGTAGGTAGGAAGGAAGGAAGGAAGGAAGGAAGGAAGAAGGAAGGAAGGAAGGAAGGAAGGAAGGAAGGAAGGAAGGAAGGAAGGAAGGAAGGAAGAAGGATGGATGGATGAATAGATGGTGTTAGAGCCAGTATTTTGATTTTATAAGAAAGGCCACCTAATTGTGACGTCTGTAGTCAACATACTATAAAGGACTACAATTCCCACGGCACCTGTGCTAAAGCCACAGTGATGGGCAACCTGTTGAGAGACGCCGTCGAGGAACAGTTTTTAACCGTACACGTACATACAAATCGTACAAGTACCCTTTAAGTAATGAAGTTATAAGCATTATCAAGAAAGAAAGAATCCCTAAATTGTTTGTTATTTTATTTGAGTTTTGCCTATTTCTTTTGAATATAGTAAAGACCTATTTTCTTTGTTGCATGTGCAAACGTTTGTTATTTTATTTTGAGAAAACACATCTTCTAAACCATCGGAGGCCAAGCAACACTTCAAACTGCGAGTGATTTAAAGGAAATAAACTAGTTAGAACTGTCTGTTTAAGGCGTCTAGTGGCTTGATTGAAAGACAAGGGAGGAAGCCACGACAGATACTTTATTTATCCCAAGTTGGGAAATTGTTTTGTCACGGGAGCATTTTCACAGTCAGTGTACAAGTATTACAAAGTGTCTTAAAAATAGAATAAAATAAACAAAAAACCCATAGGCCTACACTGAAATCAGTAACTCGAGGGAAAACAGCTGAAATGCGGATGTAAACTGCGTAGGCTACTTCTCCACGTTTGTAATGCGGGAGTGCTTGTGTTTAATAAAGTGACGACAGACGGTGTGTTTTAGTAACATGCAGGTGTGTTTTAGTGTCTACAGCCGACATGCAGGTGATGATTTTTCCTCCTGTGTGTGAGTGAGGTCCACATTGTGTGTGTGTGTGTGTGTGTGCTGTAGTAGCGAGAGGAGATTTCATTGAGTCTCTGTTATGTGACCATGTTTGGTAAAGCTCTTCAGGCAGTCTGACCAAACCCCTTGACCGAGACACACACACACACACACACACACACACAAGATGTTTCACTCACAAACCCACTGTAGCTCAGAGTCAGACTTCCCCCTCCTTCTTATATAAATGTCTCACTTTTCCACGCTTCCTTCACATCCCTCGCTTCGTCTAATCCTTTCGTTGCACCCTTTCATCTCTTTCTGAAAGTCTCCGTCTGTGCTTCACCTTTGCTCTTTGAATATCTCACATCATTTAAAAGAAAAGACACACATCCAGCCACCACTATCAGTGCTGGACTAGTTTAATAAGCTTCTGACTGCAAAATGCAGGTTATTCCCATTGCTGACTTCATTGATATTCAGACGGGTGCAGGTATCTAAGAAGCCCAGAAATGAGTCAGCGTTTGAGCTTTTCTGTTAGCTTGTCTCAAAGTCAATGGGGTTTTGTTAGGAGTCTGAAGTAAGGTATGTGGTTAACACACGTTTAAGAGACTTCTATGTTTTGTTATACAACATAAAATACGTCAGTAAATACCCCACTGTTGAATGTCTGAAGGTATTACGTGTCTTAATAACAGCAGATGCTAACAAGTGTCTAAACATCATCATGTGGAAAAATTCCATTGGCTTTTTGTCGAGGGAGGTCTTGTGATTCCCAGGATGCGTCATCCCTGCTCCAAGCTATACTGTAGGAGCAAAAGTAAAAACTGGCATTGTAAGAATGAACATTTAAAACGCACAATAGGTCACTTTTTTTTTTTACGTAGCATAGTATCATGGGGATTGTTGACTTCACCACCATTGCTGTCCATTTCTCCCGGTTAACGTTGGTTAAGTAATTGTTGTTCAGAGGTTTTTTACTGAAGCCAATTTATCCTCAGGTCTCCTCCTCTTTAAACAAATGGACCAGGTGATTAAAACTGATGAAAACACAGAATAAAGCAGTTTTACGTAAAATTGTGTTTTACTGGTGGAGATGGGACACTGGGCCTACTAGCTAACGGCTAAAGTTAGCTTAGCTTGTTTCTGTAAGAACTTCTGTCCAAGACGTACAATGACATATCTTTTGTCTGGTTAACATATATAGTTAAATAACAACCAAGATCTAAAAGTATAGCTTACAAATGTAGCTTGAAATTGGATAAAAAGTAAATTTGTGATAGCATTGGTATCTTCTAGAAGCTAATACATACAGGAAGATTTCACTAGGTTTACAAATTGGTCAAAACATTTGGGATGATTGAAGTAGGCAACTCAACAAAATATCTAACATAGGTGCCGAGCCGTCCCTGGCCAACATGAGGGGGGGGGGGGGGTGCTAGTGGAGCCTCGCAGCAGCGAAACCACACTAATTGCGCCACATTTTCGGCTCAGTTGAGGCCCCCTCCACAAGGTGAGGCCCCACGCAGTCTGCATGATCGGCCTGCAGGGAGGGACGGCCCTGCATAGGTGTAGTAGTATTTTAGATATTTAAAAAATGCAGAATGTTATATATTTAACATGTAAGTGTAGAGTAAGAACGAAAGAGCCAGGCAACTGTTTTCTCTTGGTCTTCAACTTTATTGAAGAGCAACACTTTCAAGTAAGTCTCAACTTCCAGCACTACAGTTACATGATCATTAGTAGTGGTCATTGTAGACGACGCTCAGACGAGGCCTGCGTGTAGTGTAGGCTGTTTCACATTAAAATCTCCAGAAAACAAAGAAATGAAAGAGATTGCATTGCATTAAAAGACAAAAAATAAAAACAAGTCAAAGAGGGGGAAACAACACAAGCCACACTGGCAAGTCAATCAAAAGAAAAATCATATTTGCTGTCAATTTATCCGCAATTTTTCCAGTCATTTTCAATCATTATACAATTCTTAATCCATGTTATTTAATAGAATCAAACTTCACATCAAAACTGCCCAAGTACCAGGTGTAAGATGTACTGTTTAAGTACCAGATTCTGATGCAGCACTGTTTTAATGTACCTAAGAAAGAAGAGAAATTAAACACACTTACAATTCGTTTAATTGGTGCATCAGTGTTCAATACTTTGATATACACAGGTTTGTATATACCTTAATAATATATCTTTAAATATATTCATTATTTGACATAATGAACGTTGGCCTCCCCAAAAAAAGAAAGAAAAGGCAAATGTGGTTGTTCTAACCTGATACGATTCAGATCCCGGCCTTTACAATAGCAGCCTTTTTTATTTTTTTAATCCATCAATTCTTTCTGTCCGAACATCCCCAGGGTGTGAGACACATATATCAGGTGTTGAAATATATTCTGTAGAAAACCCTGAAACATACAAAAACTCTCTCCGGTACATTGCAATTCTCGTGAGTGTCGTTTTACTTTGTGCACGAGCAGTTTAAAACTCAAAGACGGCAAAACAAAACAAAACGAAGAAGTGCACCTGCTTCTCGGCTCATTCCCCACAGTGTACTCTGATTATTATAGTTTTTTTTGTTGATATTACAGTTTCTTTCTACAACTATTCACAGCTTCGAGATTAGGAGGCTGGAGAAATGAGATGTTAGCCTCCCCGTTTACTAACCTGTCGTAAAGTGAAAAAATATAATTTCCATTCTGACTGCCTCGGGACACTGTGAGCGCATCTCTAATGCCACTAAATAACTAAAATCACAACATTCATAGAGACATACCTCCCTGTATTTCAGGAGAAAAACACAAAACTCCCCGAGAAAAGGGATCAGCTTTGGATTATAATACTTGGCCGGATTAATCATTGTGCAGGCAAGAGGTTATAAAAATATATACAAAGAGTATACATGTGGAGTACAGAGGAGATCATCACTGGGTATTACATTAGAAAGTCATGCTAATCCAAAACCTGGCTGCATCACATCCACCGTTTGTGTTAAAAAAGGCACAAGATACTGTAGCCCCTCCTCTGTGGTGATGACAGACAGACAGGAGGTCGTCTCCATAGCAACACAGTGAGATATTCTCCATTATCTGTTCCAATTAAAGGGGAACTCCACCGATTGGACACACACAAGCTGTTTTCACGTCTTGGGAAGTGCCACTACATAGGTTAAAAATAAATTAAAAATGGGTTTGTTTAGTACAACTATATGTGTAATATACAAATAAATATAATTGGGCAGTATGAGCTTCTACTTGCTGTTTTTTAAATTGGCAAAAACAAATAAAACCTGACTGAATGAGCCACCATTGGAACACCTGAAACGCTAGAATGAAGTGTTGCATTATGGGTGATGTAGTACCAAGTTGTGGAATAAAGTGTTACATTTTTTTTGAAAGACTTTGTTTTAATTAGCATTTTACTTTTGTGAAATAAAAAAAACCTGACTGGAAAAATTAGAAATAAACAAAAACGGCATAATTAGCGGCTACACACTTGAACTGTTGCATTATGGGCAATGTAGGCAAAAGGTTTAAGTCAAAGAAAAAAAAAGTTAAATAAAAATACTAAGTGTGTATCTATTTTAATACACATCTTAAAATTGCAAAACACGGATACATTTTTATTTAAAAGTGTGTCACAGTGACGTACCTTAAATGCATTTACATTGAAAAGTTAATAAATAGTGACAGAGAAAATAAAATAAAAGTCACCTTCATAGAAATAGCAATATCGTTTTTCCATTGTTGTTTTAATGACGTCACTTTGACACACCCTCTTTTTTCTCCTTATATTAATGTGAAATTCTTGCAGATTTTTTTAAGCTGAAGTTTTGGTTAAAATTCACACTTCATTTAGATGGAAACTCGACGAAAATCTGCACCATTTTTTAAGCTATTCATCGTGATTTCCCCATTTTTAAATCGGTGGAGTTCTCCTATAAGCAACAATGACATTTATACATTTCTTGTTGTGTGACAAAAGCCTGTATCTCTGTCCGTCATAATATCAGCGATGTAGTCTTAGTGTACAAGGAGTAGAGTTCATGAATTTGTAAAAAAAACTACCACACAGAGAATGTGGTTAATGATTAGTGAGTCGGCCATACAGAGCTACTGTATGAGAATTAACTGTACAGACATGCAGCGAGGAAAGTAAAGAACAAATACATGCATTCAGTCCGCTCCGAGAGGCGAGACATTTTGGAAGACAAACCCCTTTTTAAGCATCGGATTAATGCAGTTTCATATCTAGATGTTATTCATCTATCATGACTAGTCGCTAAGGCATCACAGAAATATGTTACCATGCTCTGAAGTGATTTACAATTTATACAGAAAAGAAAAACAACATGCAGATTGCCATAAATTGATACATCCAAATTATGTAGAAACGTTTGGAAAGAAATTGTCGTATTGCTAGCATTCCTACTGCTGACATTCTGCAAGAAAAAGAGCACCATGTCAGTGTTTCTGAAGGGCTTCAATTATATCGTTTGCACGCTATGATTGTGCCAACTTTTGGAAAGGAAGTGGGGGAAAAAAGTCCAAATGTTTGTGGACTTTTCCCTTTCCCTTGTAAGATTAGATTCTCAGAGTCACGGAGAACAAAAAAACGTGATCAGAGGAAGTATAAAGACTTCCATTGTGGGGGGGGTGTTTCTTTAGAAAGACACACTTTACTGCATTGGCTGGGTTGAAGGTGTCCCTCTGAATCAGTGATATCACAACAGATAACATATCAAAGGCTAAAATCACTCGGTACAATAGAAAGAATAACAACAAAAAAAGTTTTCTCATGACGGCGGGAGGTCTTTGTAAGGCAGGGGGAGAGGTAGAACACAACCAAAAGCTGGCCAGTGGAGTATCCAGTGAGGCAGAGGGTTGCGATGGATGTAAAATGAATTGGATGTAACTTCAGGGCGGGTAAAATAAAAATACAGCTGGGCGATGCCGACACAATGAATACTGAAAAGGCAAAAAATTGTCCTGTGAGAAGCCCGTGTCCACAGAGAGGCGTTTTCTCTCTTTTCTCTTATTTCTAAAAGCTCACCCTCTGTTTTTTGTGTGGCCGCTACAAACGCTCCGAGTTGATATTAACTTGACTGACTTTTCAGAAAGAAGCTATTGACGTCACTCTTGAAATTGAAGGAGAAGCTTGATTGTGTTATTCAGAAAGAAACAATAACAAAGACGAAAAAGCGAATTTGTTGTACATGAATGTTGCTGCCAGTGAGTGTTTCACTTTTATATGCGGACCGCCCTCCGTAGGATGAGGACAATCTCGTGTTTGACCGTGTCTTTCAATCGGAAACAAAACCCATAAAGCGAATTCGTTGCACACGGATGTTTTCTACGGTGAATGTTTTCTCAGCAGAACTTTTGTTTCCATACACAGATCACACCCAAAAGCTCATTTGTTTTGCATGAATGTTTTTTTACTGTGATCTGTATAACCATCTGTAGAACCTTTATCTCCATCTCTTTATCGCAGATTGCTGCTGCCCCCCCCCCCCCCGTACGTGGAGGAGAAGCTTGTGTTTGACTGCTTTCAGATGGAAGCAACCATAACAAAAACCGAAAAGCTCATTTGTTGTACATGGATGTTTTCTCCGTTAAATGCTAAACTGTTATCGTAGTACACAGACCACCCGACGTATGTGGAGGAGAAGCTCGCTTTAGGCCGTGTTTCTCCATTATAAAAAAGACAGAAAAGCGTATTTGTTGTCTTTCTCTATTGTTAGTGTTGAACTTTTATCTCCGTACGCGAATGCCCTCCGTACAAAGACGAGAAGTTTGGTTTTTTACCAGGGAAACAGCTATAACCAAAAAAGCTAATTTAATGTACATTGATGTTTTCTCCGGTGAGCGTTGATTTGTACGCGGATCGCCCTACTTTCACGGATCTACCAGCTGATGTCAAATGGAAAAAATATCAAAAGTTGTCGAGATATCATCCCAGAAACATTGAAAAAAGCCTCTGCTCAGTGCAGAAAAAGACGTTATGTGGACACAGGACCTACAGGGTGTTGGAGAGTGTGTCTTTCCTGCATGCATATTCTAAATATTTTAATATATATATAATCCGAATTGTTCACGGGGCGTTGGAGGGGCATGGCTGGTAATAGGCAGGTGCCACTTTCTTACAAGGAGGCCACAGCAGGTGATACTGTAGAAGAGGCATTATGGTGTTTTTCTGTCTCTTTTTGTATATCGTGAGGTCTGATGAGTTTTAAGACGAGAGCCCTGTAGATTCACGAACACTGCACACGGGAGCGTCTCCTCGAGCGTGGACGGAGTAGATGAAGGATGTTCGGGGGGGAAATCAGCGAGAGATGGTCGTCTTCTGAAGGCTCGGTCAGACTTTGCGATCCTGCAAAAAAATCCTGTCTTTCGCAGGCACTTCAGAGGCTGAAGGAGGGGGGGATATATGATGGGTAAAAGGACGAACGAAAAGGTGACAGACGGAGTTAAAAGTGTGCTTTCTGCCTCTGTCCCAACACTGAGCTGCAAAGGCTGGAGCTCGAGAGTCTCTTTGTCTCGCGTCGGGACTTAAAGGACCATCACGTGGGTCTGTGAGGATTTCCCCTTCCTCCTTACTTCCTGTTCCTACATTTCCTTTCGCTCTCTTCAGTCCATGTGGTTGTTGACGTGCTTCCCGTCTTTTTTCTCCACCTCCTTCTCTGTTACCTCCTTCTCCGATACCTCCTCCTTTCCTTTCCTCGCCCCCCATCTTCCTTTGATCACCTTGTAGCAGCCGCGGGCGATCTTGTACATCCAGATGACGTTCAGGATGTCCAGCGCGATGCAGGAGGAGATCCACGCCACCTGAGCGGCGAGGCCCAGCCTAGTGAAGGCCTCCGTGCCGAAAGTGGCAAAGACGCTGGACCAATAGGACGGCATGACGGCGCAGCGGACCAGGAAGAAGACGACCGCCATGGCAACGCCGTTTATAACGACGAGGCGGTGAGAGCGAGGGTACTTTAACGCCTCGAAGAACCACCTGCAGGGAGGAAGGGGATTTTGTTATTGATAATTTGTAAATTCAACATTTTTTTTCTCTTCTTTTCTATCTTTATCCGTTCATTGTGTCTTTAGATTAATTTAAAAATAGATTAAAAAAAGTTTATATGATTATATTTGTTACTTTTGATTAAAGTAATTTGTTATTCTAAAATGGAGCAATATTCACTCGGCACAATTGAAGTAAATCAATTATTTTGATTATGATCCTAATTACTTTCCCCTCAATTTTCGCTGCAGGACTTTTCGTATTGACAGACAGAAATAGAACACTTGTTGCTATGCATTCTGGGATATGTTGAAAGGTAGAGGGTAAAGTGATGCTGACTCACCTTTGGTTCACAAACGGTGTGGACAGCTCTGAAATGAGGCGGAAGTTTGCAAAGTAGGGAAGCACGCCTCGAGTCTGCAATCAAATCAAACTTTATTTATAGAGCACTTCTCAAACAAACAAGGTAAAACAAAGTGCTTCACAAACCGAACACGGAGACAATTTACAAAACATAAACAACAACAATACTATCTCTCCCTTCTCAGGGAGTAACCAGAGTAACACATAGCTTTGTGATTATGACCTTACATTAAACATTTGGACATTGGAATAGTGTCATGTCTCCAATTGCATTCTAAGTCAATACAATGGTCGGAGGTGTAAAGTAACTAAGTCCATTTACTTAAGTACAATTTAGAGATACTTGTACTTTACTTGAGTAGTTCAATGTGTTGTTACTTTGTACTTCTACTCCACTACAGGTCAGAGATAAATTGTGTACTTTTCCTCCACTACATTTATTTAATACCTTCAGTTACTTCACAGATGTGGATGAATGATGTGAAATATAATCAAGTGTTGAATCAGACTTTAGTTCCACCTGGAGTAAATCCACCAGCTACCCTGCAGTATACAAAGTCATTCAAGCTAGCTGCTCCTTTACCAGCTTTGAGAACACTTTCATGATCAATCATTATAAAACATATCATATATATTATTCTGAAATGGATCAATCTGCACAATCACTACTTTTACTGTCGCTACTTTCACTATATTTTGATGAGAATACTTTTCTACTTTTACTTGAGGAACATTTTGAATGCAGGACTTTTACTGTAACAGAGTATTCCTACACTCTGGTAAGATCTGAGTACTTCTACTTTTACTCAAGAACAAGACCTGAGTACTTCTACTTTTACTTAAGTACAAGACCTGAGTACTTCTACTTTTACTCAAGTACAAGACCTGAGTACTTCTACTTTTACTCAAGAACAAGACCTGAGTACTTCTACTTTTACTTAAGTACAAGACCTGAGTACTTCTACTTTTACTCAAGTACAAGGTCTGAGTACTTCTACTTTTACTCAAGTACAAGGTCTGAGTACTTCTACTTTCACTCAAGTACAAGACCTGAGTACTTCTACTTTTACTCAAGTACAAGACCTGAGTACTTCTACTTTTACTCAAGTACAAGGTCCGAGTACTTCTACTTTTACTCAAGTACAAGGTCTGAGTGCTTCTCCCACCTCTGACAATGGTAATACATTTACTGAAATAAAGCAGTGTGTAGCTGGAGATTTAAAAAGTAACTATTATACAGTTAATTGAACTGAACGCTTCCTCTAACCCTGAGTTTTCACACTCTAACTCTGAAGAGTGATCTACTCACCAGAACATATCCATATGCATACAGCGCCGCCAAGTGGTGGCAGACGAAGAAGCCGTCGCCCATCGTGCTCCAGTTAGTGGCCAGCAGCACGAGGTCTGAGGACAGAGGGACAGAGAGCCGGTCAACACCATGAAACCACTGCTTTATAAACATTACTGCCTTTAAAACAGGTGGAGAAAGTGGAACACAGGTAAAGCTGGCATGTTATAGGAAAACTTTGCCATGCCAAGGACCTCCATATAGCATTATCGTCTGGCGGGGACCCCCCTGTTGCAATTATTTTTTTAAATGATGAGTACATCATGATGGAAAATATGACAAATTAAATCATACAGCTGAATACGTTTTCTTAATATATATTTGTATTAATAATTCATAATCAGTTATTCTTCTAATTTTTTTTGTATTTATATTTTGTTTGTCATTCATTACATTGATTGTGTCTTCTGTTATAAACATGCTTAACACAATATTAAACAGTAATATCAACAGTAAACCTATTTTAAAGCAGTTTTAAAGTGATTTCTGTCTTTATAATATTATATAATTTTGAACAGTAATATGAACAATTAACATATATCTTTAGCATTTTTGAAAGCTATTTATATATAATATTCAACAGTAATATTAACAATAAACATATTTATATTCATATATATATATAAACAACACGGTCGTGTGATTTCAAAACAAAAAAATAAAATATGAATAAATACAAAATATTAAAAGATTGGCATCAAAGGACACTGATTGATATGCAGTTATTAATAACATAAAATAAAAAAAATGTAACTTTAAAAAAAGAAAAAAATTCTCCTTTCCCTCAAACTTTGCGCGACCCCCCTGGCGCCCCCCGGGGGGTCGGGGCCCCCGCTTTGAAAAACACTGTTATAGGACATCTGAAGTGTGGTCGTGACCCCCTTGAAAACATTTTCTCAGCCAAGTACCCCCTGACCGACCCCGAAATGTTTTGATAGAAAAAGCCTATTTAAATAATTACAATATAGTGAGGTTCCATCAGTGTGTGATTGATTAACTCCGTCATGCATGCATTACATCAAACTAAGGATATGTTCATCTTTATGCATGCATTTCTATTGAATTAATATATATTTAACAAACCAATGAACAAAATGATATATTATTAAAACTATAAAATACAACACACACATTTGACATGTTTATATAATAATAATAAATTATATTTCTATAGCGCTTTTCTTGAACCCAAAGACGCTTTACATTTGGGAGGGAGGGTAGACAAACAAAACAAAAACAAAACAAAAAAAGAAACAAAGAAACAAAACAGAAAAGCAGTCAGGAGGAAGTTGGTTGAGAGGGGGGGGGCTTATGGATATACAGAGTTGAAAAGGTGGGTTTTGAGGCGGGACTGGAACAGGGTGAGGGACTCAGACTCACGGAGGTCTTGGGGGAGGGAGGGAGTTCCAGAGCTTCGGGGCTGCCACAGAGAAGGCTCTGTCCCCGAAGCTCCGGAGTTTGGCCTTGGGGATGGAAAGCAAACCGGCTGAGGTGGATCTGAGGGACCGGGGGGGTTGGTAGGGGATGAGGAGGTCAGTGAGGTAGGGGGGGGGGGGGGGGGGGCAGATGGTGGAGGGCTTTTTATATAAAATTGTGTTTTCTATTTAACTTATTGTACTAAGATTATTTTTGTAGTCATGCATGGTATTTCTTTTTATTAACCGCCTGCAGTACCCCAACGTACCCCTAGGGGTCCGCGTACCCCCATTTGAGAATCACTGCTTTAGAGTAAACAGAGTAGAGAAAATACTCCATAAACAAAACTTTATAGTTTCTGTTTCAGTCTTATGTCATTTTGGTTTATTTCTCTCATTGCTGTAATGGTCTTTTTATGTTATTATCATTATTGTTTCTTTTTTTTGTAATATAGCACCTGCATTTGTACTTATGTGTGGGAAAAACCAATACATACAAAAAACAGGACTTATAGCTTATATTGTCCCCATCTAACTTATTGAAATCAAAAAATCAATCAAAAAATCAATTTAACTAAAAAAAAATAAGCGCTTTGAGCACCAGGAAAAGCACTATGTAAGGGATAATGTTTGACAGTGGTGAGTTCAGGGTCATCTCGTGCGTAAAGTGAGCGGATGTACACAGAGTGTGTGTGTGTGTGTTCTTTTCCCCATAATGACCAAGTCGCTGCACATTATCCCGCTTATTGCACGGCCACATTCTCAACAAAGTAACGATATATATATATATTGAAATGCTTTTATAGATTTAGAAAATGTTTTTATTGATTTAAAAAATAGTAGGCTATTATTTAAAATGACAAGAATCCGCTAAGAAAAATAGTCCGTTGTTACCGTTTGAAATATGTAGCAACGGTAGGAACTGCTTCAATAGCGTTTTTGCGGACCTTTTTGATTTGAAAACATCGTTGCTTGCTTTAAAAGTAGCACAATTCATTATGTCAAACCTTGGGAAGTATCTAGATATCCCTGCAACTGAATATGTGTCGCCGTTTGATGTCTATGTCTGGACCGCTGCGTAAAAAGGAGGGTTTCCGCCCCGTTACTTCTCCGCTGCTTTCTTGTCCCAGTTTACAGTTAAATCGACCGAACTTCTTTCTGCAGATGTGAGCGTCCTTTAACGTCAATACATCCTTGGCAGCGGTCTGTCTGTTCTGGATTAACAAACGTGTCACATGTTCTGAATTGACCAATCAGAATCGAGTATTCAACTAAGCCATGTAATAAATAAATGTAATGTATTATTAATAAAATCAGAGTTTGAAAAGGTGTTGTGGTTCGTAATTGATATACAAATGAGCACTTTGTGGGTGAAGTGTTCCTTCAAAGCTGTAAAATGTCATAAAAATAAGCTGTGGCCACGACCTTTGCTTTCTACAATAGTCCGAGTTATGTACACAGGGGAGATAAAAACTACTACACAGGATTTTATGACATTGTTCACTTATACAGTACGTAATAATGTGTGTGTTTTTGGTTGAATGCATGTGTTTATTCACATATTAAAGTGCAGATCGGTGTTATTTTAAACCTGACATATTGGTGTTTCTACATATAATCAGTGAAATTCTGATTAAATACCGCTTTTCTTTGTGTGCTTACACTGTATACATTGAATGACATGGAGTGGAACTAGTGGAAACAGTACAAACAGAAATCATCTCACCATAAAGGAGGTAGCCACAGGTTATGGCTACATTTAGTTTGACGAGACTGGGGTCGCCCCTGCGGAAAACAAAGAACACGTTATTAAAAAAACATTCAACACACAGCTTTAACTACAATAGGGGTATTCAACTCAAATTAAACGAGGTCCAGTTAGAGGAAATGTCCCCATGCAAAGGTCCGGAACATCAAAATGTCTAACTTGCTTTATGAATTAGTGTGATAGATATTGAAGTAGCCTAGTAGCTGTATCAAAGTCAAAGTACTCCAAGTCAACTTTATTGTCAATCTCAAAATATGTTTGTACACACAGAAAGATCGAAATACTGTTTACCACAGTAATAACACATTAAAATACACTCAAGAATTGCAAAAAAACACAAAATAACTGTTTACTCAAACGTCTGCATGTAATCAACAACTGACTGCCAATCAAATAGAAAGAAAGAAAGTACAATTCAAAAACAACAATATTTATTGTCAATTAACATTGAACTCTACAGATATACAGTAAAATACTGTTGATGTGTGTAATGTTCCTCACGGGCTTTTGAAAATGTGTGCATCTTAAAAAGTGCTTAATTTTAGATCTCAGATATATCCAGAGCCTGTCTCTGATTGGCTGAAGCACCAAACAGATCATTGCAGCATTACCCATAATCCCCTCTGTTTCAGCCCTGTTTCCAAAGTGCTGATTCTCTGTCTGTTACTTTAGATGAAAATAAGGAGCCCCTCCCCACGCCCCTCTGAGAGGTATTTGGTTACAAAGAACTCAATGGCGCTCTAGGAGGAGATTCAGGTGATAAGGGGGGGGGGGTTACCTTGGTTGCTGATTGGCTAATGGTTACACAAGACAACACATTGTTATGACATCATTAAGTGGCCAAAATCTGATCAGCTCATTTTCAGACAGGTTTTTATAGAAATGGACAAAAAGAGAGAGAATCTTTGTTCCTGAAACTTTCAAAGTCTCTTTCCACAGAGGGGACACATGTTGATGTAGAAGAGACATGAAGAAGAGGGGACACATGTTGATGTAGAAGAGACATGAAGAAGAGGGGACACATGTTGATGTAGAGGAGACATGAAGAAGAGGGGACACGTGTTGATGTAGAAGAGACATGAAGAAGAGGGGACACATGCTGATGTAGAAGAGACATGAAGAAGAGGGGACACATGTTGATGTAGAAGAGACGTGAAGAAGAGGGGACACATGGTGATGTAGAAGAGACATGAAGAAGAGGGGACACATGTTGATGTAGAAGAGACATGGAGAAGAGGGGACACATGTTGATGTAGAAGAGACATGAAGAAGAGGGGACACATGGTGATGTAGAAGAGACATGAAGAAGAGGGGACACATGGTGATGTAGAAGAGACATGAAGAAGAGGGGACACATGTTGATGTAGAAGAGACATGAAGAAGAGGGGACACATGGTGATGTAGAAGAGACATGAAGAAGAGGGGACACATGTTGATGTAGAAGAGACATGAAGAAGAGGGGACACATGTTGATGTAGAAGAGACATGGAGAAGAGGGGACACATGTTGATGTAGAAGAGACATGAAGAAGAGGGGACACATGTTGATGTAGAAGAGACATGAAGAAGAGGGGACACATGTTGATGTAGAAGAGACGTGAAGAAGAGGGGACACGTGCTGATGTAGAAGAGACATGAAGAAGAGGGGACACATGTTGATGTAGAAGAGACATGAAGAAGAGGGGACACATGTTGATGTAGAAGAGACATGAAGAAGAGGGGACACATGTTGATGTAGAAGAGACATGAAGAAGAGGGAACACATGTTGATGTAGAAGAGACATGAAGAAGAGGGGACACATGTTGATGTAGAAGAGACATGAAGAAGAGGGGACACATGTTGATGTAGAAGAGACGTGAAGAAGAGGGGACACATGTTGATGTAGAAGAGACATGAAGAAGAGGGGACACATGTTGATGTAGAAGAGACATGAAGAAGAGGGGACACATGTTGATGTAGAAGAGACATGAAGAAGAGGGGACACATGTTGATGTAGAAGAGACATGAAGAAGTGGATTTTGCACAATAGGCGACCTTTAACAGTTTCAGAGTGTTTTCCTCTGATCGATAATCTGCTCCTGCAAAGAGAACGTGATGAAATTCCTGCAAACGTCTTTATGTAACCCGACTAACACCGTAAATCACGTAGAAAGCTCATTTAGGGTCGGATAATTGTCTGACGCTGATGAGCTCGCTGTGATACATGATTAAGTTCTGATTAAAAAAGAAGATGAGTGTGTTTGTGTGTCCGTAATGTGACAAACGGCTCTTTGAAGAACATGTTAGAACCGGGGTTATTTTTAGTAACCTAAAACTAAAAACAGGAATTAGCTGTAAAAAATTAACGTAATCAAATTAATTCCTTTGAAAAAAATTAAACTGTAAAGATATCGCGAAGTACAAATATTATTAAGTATGTGTTTTTAAGCTTTTGTACCGTAAAACGCAAGACTTCCCATCAACTCTTGAGACAATGAACCACAGAAATTAAAAGTACCAATGCTTCAAAATTCAATATTTATGAAATAAAATACATGACGATGGTTTAAATCCTGAAGTCAAATGTAAGACCTATTAAGACCTCTGGTTAAACCCTTACGTTTCATCGTGAACACATTTGCATTTTAGATTTCTCTCATGCTGTGTTAATGAATATATGTGAAACATTTCTGAAATGTAAGTTGTTTCTTTGGAAATATTGGAAGTCTAACCATAGCTCCAATAAAGTTTATATTAAGAGTTTAGCCAAAACACAAAATGGCTCCAGTGAAAACTTAAAACTATATTTTCTATTCATCCCAAGGCTATATCAGTATAACATCATGTTTTCTGTTGTATCAGACTTTCAATCGGGAGCCCTAGCATCAATATTTCAATATTTATTTCCTGGATTCCTGCACAGAATAGGTACAAATCCATGTTTTCCTTACGTTTACAGCTACATAAGGGTGGCAGGGTATATGCAGGAATCCTGAAGTCAAATGTAAGACCCTTTAAAGACCCTTTCCATACATTTTAAGACCTCATCTCCACTTCGAGTTTTAACCGGTTACCTTGGCGACACACTTCACCTCACATTCACTATACACAGTATTGATTGTCCTTCCTCCTTATCTTCCAACCATTTGGACGCAGACTTGCATTTCCCCATAACGATGTTTTTAACAACCGGCGTAAACGGACGGATCAAGCAGTGAGCGTGCGATGTCCTGTTCAGATGACGTCAAATCCAACGGGATGCCATTAATAAACTACACAGAATCACACTACACACCTACGCAATGATTACATTCAGGCAGACTGTAGAATACAACCTCTTTGGACAATTTATATACTTATTGAAAACAAGCTACAAAATGTAAAACCTTGGAAAATGCCGTTTAATACTTTTTAATAGCCTTCATTTTCGCTAAATTGATTTATCAACTTTTAATACTTTTTAAGACCCCGCGGACCCCCTGATATATTATAGTTGACTTTAACTGAAATGATATTGCTTGATAAAAAAAATAAACTAGTAACAATAGTATACATATTAAGGCAAATACATTTTTGTTTTGAGTTTGTTATAAATTAAAAGAAAAAGGGGAATGGATGAATTTCCTTCAACTCTTGTGCGTTAAAAGAGTCCAGCAGATGGAGCAATGCTTCACAATTAATACTTGTTGTTATTCACATATGGGGTAGTCATACAGAATTAAATAGCAACAACATGATTTATACATTAATACAGACTCAAGAATATCAATTTACAAGATTTAAGTATTATTGCCGTTACTCAACGTTTTTTTCGTTGCATTTGCACGTTGCCACATTTTTCTGAGATATCATACCTGAAACTAAAACAAGGTCCTAATTTCTGAGTTTACAAGTTGTTGTAATTGATAATTGTGATTAATGCTCAAAGTGTAAAGGAAACGTTGATATTTAATACAGAGTTAATGTTCGACTTGAAGCAGAGAACATGTGAGTTTACCCAGTGGGAAACTAATTTGTCTTGCAAGCACAAATGCCATCAAAAAATGTGTATATAGCTGCTACACCCTTTTGACTGATTTTAAATGCCATTTTCTGAATGTCTTTCATTTTTTGTAAAGCACTTTGAATTGCCTTGTATTGAAAAGTGCTATATAAATAAACTTGACTTGCCTTGCCTTCCAACCAGTTACATGAAAATTGGGCTACACATGTTTTCGTTATCATCTGAAAGACACACCGAGCCTAAAACCACCAAGAAAATGAACCATTCTGAAAAAAAAACTAAATAAAATGACACTCTGAAAGTAAAATGGAAACCAACTGAACATTTAAACTGAGAATAACCTTGACTAGAACATCTAGTTTGTTTCGGAACAAACAGTAATTTAGCTTTAGCTCCGGTAACCGGTAGGTGTCCTTCTAAATAACATCTGTTCAAAGTAACAATGGAGGTGTCTCTGCTTCAATGGACACCCGATCCTCAGTCTCTCGTGTCGTATAGCTAATGACTCGCTGACCGCTTGTGTAACGCAACCCCCCCCCCCCCCCACACACACACAAACATTCAAAAGCACACACCAGTTGTGTCCATCCACTCACTTTACACACAAGATGACCCTTATTTCACCTGATAGGTTCATCACAACATCTGTCTTTGCTGTAAGTGAGTACATTTGAATGTTTAACAATAAAGTGGTGCAGGAATGAGTCCTAAAACCAGGAAATATGACTGCTATTTATTTCATTTTTTTTTACTTCATCATTTGCCCCTTTTGTTTGTTTGTTTGTTCACCATGTAAGGCAGCCTTGGGTCCCTTGAAAGGCGCTATACAAATGTAATATATTATTAAATATCCTCAATAAGTGTCCTTATGACAATTCATTATTTAATTGTCAAACTTCCTGATGGAGGACAAATGGGTTTTAAGCAATAGAGCACTTCCCATATCTCAAAGTCAATAGTTTTTTTGAATGAGTTTTTGGCAACATGCCAGAAATTAGGACTATGTTTAACACAAGCTAACAAGATGTGTATTTG